GCTTGCAATATCCGTTTGATAGCTAAGATCTTGAGTACTCTGAAGGTGTACTTTATTTTTAGAAGGGCCTTTTTATTGAGCTCTGACAGTGAGTATAATTATCCTTCACATTCAAGCACTTCCCACTGACCAAAGCTTTACCGCTAGACTTTCAATATTTGTTCGATAGCTCAAATCTGTGTAATTCCTGCAATAACTTGTTTTTAGAAAAGAGCTCATTGTTCCACTGGAGCAGTCAAAGGAATCGTCGAGACGCAAGTTCTTACTGCCACAGCATACTAAAAGCCATTTGGGAAATATAATGAAACTTTAGAATTTTTGAAATACAAGATTATCGAATAACCATCGAAACTTTGAAAAAGTTAGAAAACACGTTTTTTCAAGAGATCAAGAGGAGGGTGCGAATAGCGAAAATTGTCCAGATTTGCAAAACTCAATCTTCTTTTGACTGATAGAGCTTTCTAAGAAGTCTTCTTCAAAACCAAAGTGATCATTGGAATCGCCGTGATTGGAGCTATTGAACGATGTATGAAACGCCGAAGGAAAAGCCACGTTCAACGAGAAATTTTTGCTTGTAAAACATAATTCCATATTTACAGTTAGGACATATTTTAAAGCTATTTTGAAAATAAGGACGCTTTCAAAATTGTCGAGATTCGAGCTATCGGACAACTACTAAAACGGTTAAAAAAAATTAGGGGAAACTTTTCTCCAAGGAGCTGAAATAGGGTGGAGCTGGCGGAAATGATTCAATATTTGGTTTCTGCAAAACATTATATAAGTTGATAGTGTTCTCTATAGTTGGCGGATCATCGGTATCCCCTGACCTGATATCATTCTGCTTTCCTCAAAAAAGTTGCCTTGTTTTTATGAGATCGCGCTAGGGCCACACATTCTAAAGGACCAGTCTGGAAAAATTGCTAGAGGAGTGTACAATCATTTTAACAAAAAAAAAAATGCTATTGATAAAGTGTGAGCTCATTCTCCCCTAGTATTTGCAGAATCGACGCCGAAATCCACATGTCAGATTCCACTATGCTGATCATGTAGGTGTTGCCCGAGTTGTCAAACATCTCGGTAAGTAATGACTTTGTGAAATCGCAATATCAATTCCTCGGTTTTTTTCTGTTATCGGACAGGGAGCCAGAGGCGTGTGCTACCACTACATTACCAAGACCACGGATTCACAACCACTCTTTATTGGATAGGAACTATCAAAGCTGTCAGCAACCACTCCCTGACGGGGTCTAGCCTGGGAGGCACATAACGGCGCTGACTAAATCCAGTTGGATGACAACTTTTACTGTATGTATAGTCTAAATGATTGCTATTGGTTATCCGAGGACAGTGAAAAAACGGGCCCACTCGCTGGACATAAGCTTACCATAAGAATGTTAATGATCATTCGAAAACTTGAATCTCTGACTGCTGAGCTACGTAATGGTTTTCTGAAAAAACCCTTTCGTAACGCTGTGGCATTCAGATAGAGAGATTGCGTTTCACACTTACCACCTATTTTTTTCTTTGGCTTACATTCCCCTGGACGAAACTCCTTCCGGTACTTTTCCCTCAGACGACACGGGGTGAAAACCCTCCCTCCAGCTTTCATTTGAGTGGAAGAAATCCTTTTGGTGGATGGCCATCATTCGAAAGCTTAAATCTCTTGCTAGAGCAGTAAGCAGCCGTTTTTTCATAACACCCGTTTACAACTCTGTAAAATCGAAAATAAGATTATGTTTTACCAGAAACTATGCGTTTGTTTATTTCGTTTATATTTCGATAGACAGAAATCTTTTCTAAGACTGCTGGTACTGTTTCGATAGCGCAATTCTTAAAGAACTTATTGTGTTTGCAACTCGTAAAAGCTCTTTTGATAGATCTGTACCAGAAAAAAATTTTATGTTTTACATTTTACCGGACAGAGCTCATTCCTCAGACTATTAATAAGAGTTCAATAGCGTAAGATCTAATGATTCAACGCTGTGCTGATTTTCTAGGAAAGACCGTTCCACTGCACTGTAGCAGGTAAATAAGATCGAGTTTCACATAATCGGGAAGCTTGTTTACCGGCTAATCTAAGGACTGGGGAAAAGAAGCAGAGCGAATGACTGATGCCCTGGCTGTTGGAGATGTGGAAAGCATCCTGTTATTTGAATGGATTCTTCCGCTTCGAAAGAAACTCCAGACAAAGCAATTGAGTGAGATACCACGAAAACACGATGAAATGCTTTTCGTGCTTTCGTCGAATTATATGTGTGGTAGAAATTGAGGAGCGCGGCGAGCCTGTAACGTAATTTTATTATCGACATTACAGCGTTACAAGAGAGTATTTTGAAAAGCAGCCAAGCACCGCTCTAGCCAGAGATTTAAGCTTTTGAATAATTACCAACACACGCCTCAAAAGTCCATTTTCACCAGAAGGACTCGCTTTCCCATTTGCCTCTGGATCACCGAAAAAAAACCCCTAAATTCAGAATTTGACTGCCTCCTGGCAAAGGTATGGCTTTTATACATTTCTGTAAGATGTTCGAGCGGTACTTAAAAAAGTCGACCTCAGATAGGAGTTGCACCCTCGTATCAACCCTAGCAGAACGTGCGCTACCATTTCGTTACCGAGGCCACCGTTCTACGACCACTCTTTTACGACCTTACTAGTGAGAGTTCGAAAGCTCAAATCTAAGAGGACTGCAAAATTAACTTCTTTTCTAGAGAGGCTTCCTCATGGCCAGTTTGTACCAATAAATAAAATTCTGTCTCACACGTATCGTGCATTGCGGCGATTATATTGGGATAGACAAGTGACCTTTCCTTATACTGTTACAAGCCGCAGAATGATATAATTCTTGGAGATTTTAAAAGTAGACTTATTTTTTAGAAAAGCATTCTTACAGCGCCGCATCAAGAAAAATCAACTTGTGTTTCTTACTCATTGTGTTCTGCCGCGCGGATTTTCGTTAATTATTTAAAAATTTTTTCACTGTTTTGTAAGATTTCTAGCTTCCGTATGGACATTGTGTTAGAAATTTTGTTTGATCGCTTCGCAGGCCTAGGTTCTTCAGTTTCGTTTCATCTTGCTAATGAATTCGACACTAAGCTTGAGTCTAAGCCCTATGCGCGAAGAGCATATGAAGGCGTAGAGATAACATAGATTATCAGAGTCACATGTTAAATTCAAATTTTTCTTTTAAAGTGGGTAAATGTAATAACAAAAATCGCACTTCACATGTGAATTGCGTCTTCGCAGTCGAGCAATGGGTATCGACTCACTGACACACGCACGCTTTAGTCGACAAGCAGTGTATGGCGTATTTCTAGCTCAATCCTATTTTTCCTGCTACAGTCCCTAGTGCGACCTTTCCAGGTAGCATACATAGCATAGAAATCTTTGAAACTTATGCAAGAATGTTTACTAGTAACCTATGGGAAGAGCTCTGTCCTGAGAGAAACATGTAGGTCTATTTTCATTGCTATAACGCTATGAAGAAAAAGCCTTTCTAAAATTTCGAACTTTTCAAGATTACCCAATAATCATCTAAGGGAAAGCACCATTACGCGTAACATAAGCGCGATAATGTGCGACTCGTGTGAAACTCATTTTTAATTTTTATGCTATAGCACTTTCTAGAAAAAAAATTAATGTTAAGTCTTTCAAAATTTTGTCTTTTGAATGATTTTCAAAAGTGCAGAAGAAACTCTCTGTCCATGCAATGTTTCACATGCTATTTGAGTACTTCGTCTTTCACTTGATTGTCCTGTGACTATGTCGGGACGATTACTCTCGCATTGTTGGACTTAGCCGAGCTAAAGTAATCCTACGTGTTAGGCTGACTGATCGCGATAGCGCTGAGCACAAGATCAGTTGAGCTCCCTGCTTATCACGTCTCCTGATACACTGCTTTACTAACCACTGCAATATGCTGCTCTATAATTGATTGCAAATTATAGTAAAACTTAGAGCGTAGTTGGCACCGTGGTCAAAGGCACTCTGTGTCGCACACAAGGTTAATAGGCAGCAGTGACTTGACACAATACTAAGCCACTGCAAGTCCTTGTAATAGCCAGGTATGCATTGAATCATTTCAAACGAACCTATATTCTGAAACGAACGAATGCATTTTCAGGGATTGATTAACCACAAGAGCATTAATCATTCTGTCCTTCAATAAAACTTAAAGCTCCGCTTGAATAAAAAACGGAAAATAAAAAAGGTTTTGCTGCTAAACGAACTTCTATAATGGTTTCTCATCGTTAGAAAAAAAAGTCATCTAAGACTTGTAGAAGTAAAGCAATCACGATAAAAATCTACAGCTACACTCAATCATAGAAAAATTGAAAATCTTCGAGTATCCGTATAAAACATAAGCTCTGCAGGGCTCTGCAATTCCAGCGTGGCAAAATGTTTTTCAATAGAGGTTCTGGAAGGATGTGGTGGTACTTATATGTGAGACGGCGACAAATCTTTAAGCTGATCTCATTCGCTGGACAGAAAATTTCACAGGAGTGATAGTAATCATTTGAAAGCTTGAATCCTCTTCTAAAACTCCAAGTCGCCTGGTTTTTTGTAATACTCTTCCATAAGGCTGTAGCATTCACAAAAAAATGTGGTTACTCTCGCCTTCCGCCTTCATTTTTACGACTATAATTCGCCGAAAGAGCGAAAAGTGTGACAGTGTGTAGAGAAATTCAGGTAGTACAGCTTTAAAATCATGCGTACTCATCTAAAGTTTCTGAAGATTCGGTGCAAAAATCCTCAATAAAATAACAATGAGTGCAGCCGTTATACCGCATAGTGCAGTAAATGACCATCGAGCTACGCGGTAGATCGAGCAACTATCTTGATGACAAGTCGTCGCTGGGCTTTCATTTATCACGCTCGTCAGACTACCTCATTGACAATCTTGCAGAGTGGCGTGCAAAAACGTTTGCGCCAGCCAGGTTCCGAACATATATCTTACTCTTTCTGGGAGCATGTGCCAAACAATTGCACCACCGACGCTGATGCGTCAGCCGGTGGTGCAACGGTTCAACACATGCTCCCGGAAAGAGTAAGATCTGTGTTCGAATCCCGGCCGAAGCCGAGCTTAAGCTCACCGAGCCTGGCATCCACCTGGAGCCTTCAAACGGGGAGAGTTGTTTGGTAGACAAGGAGCACTAACTTGGTGGATCTGTAGGTCGCTATGACTCATTGTAAAGACGAAATAAGCATTCACTCACCTGTATGGTGCTGCTACTGGAGTCGAGTACATAGCGCACCCTTCAGAGATTAGTCAATGCCCCGAACTTTATCCTTTATCCTTTATTATTGCTTTGGGGTGTGTGTGAGGATGATCAGTCAAATCCACTGCAGTTTCCGGTTCACTGTGTTTCAAAACTTAGTAAATTTCTCCATTCTCTCAAAAATTCACCAGTATCTGCTCAGTTACTCCTAGCAGGCTAGGCTTCACCGCTAAGTTGTAGCATAGACGAAGTAATTTTCCTCCTCACCTGTATAATTTCAGTTTATGCCTTATTTTATTGGGTTTTCGCATAAATATATTCACATTATTTTTCTATTCAAATTCTCTATTTTAACTCGGGTTATTGCCAAGAGGCTGTAGAATACTGGGGAACGTTCAGGTAGCGCTTTCCAGGAGTATAAAAGGTAGAAAAGTTGCGAGATGCTTTTCTGAGAATAAAAATGGACCATCGAACTCGGCTCAAGTAAAGTCAAAGTATCATTTGAAACATCATACTGTCCCGTCCCTAAGTTTGCAGAGCATGCTGTTTTTGAGAGCTCAACAGCAAGCTAACACTTATTGCTGACGTCCACAGCGATCAACTGCGGAAGTAAGCCGGTCCACTGCTTGAAAAGTTCTCCAGGTTATCAGATTGCAAAGTCTATTCGTCACATTTTGAAGAAACTAGGCTAGAACAAGTGTACCATATCCACCGTATGACCCCAGTAAGGCTCCATCGAATTATCATATTTTACGCGCCTTAAAACGGCGCTTGCAAAAGAAAGATTTTGCTGACTACATCCATCTCAAAAGTGGTTTCAGCGAGTTCTTCGATCGCCAGCTCATTCTTTCCAAGGGGAAGGCATCGAATTTTTGCTCAGCAAATGCTTGCATATTATTGGTCATGAGAGTGATTAATTCCGACAACACATTATGAGCCTTTCATGTGATCTGTTACGGCACTTATAAGTGTAAGACATGTGTTTCGGCACTACAGTCTCGTCAGTTGCACCGTGCCTTTCGATTTAGTCAGTCCTGCCGGGATAAATCCCCTACGTAGGGAAACTAACGCTGAAATATTTACACTTGCCGCTATGTGAAGAAATTCTCAAGCGAGCATTGTTTGTATAGTCGATTGCTATTGGCTGGTGAAGCATGCTTGTCATACATCTCGTTTCGATTTTTTTGAGAAATCCCTTGAAACAATATAATCTGATAACGTATTTTGAGCTTATTACGAGATCTATTATGGCACTTATGCACAACAATATTTTGTGAATATATCGACGGCGTTGGCGTCCTCGTCAAATCGAATTTGACAGCGAGCACTGATTCGTTTCAACAACTAACAACCCGTATCGGACGATTACGGTTAAAACGACGTGGTTCTCTGCCGGCTTTGGAAATCTTCGTTGCTTACGCCCCAGCATCAAGCTATGACAAAGACGAAGTTGAAGCGTTCTATGTGGACCTCGAAAAATTCTTTAGAGAAGATCATACATTCTTCAAGGTCATTGTCGGAGATTTTAACGCAAAAATTGGACCTAGAAGACGTTTGAAGAACGTCACATAGGGTCCCACGGAATAGAATGGAATGAACAGGGCGAGAGGATATCTGAGTTTATCATGACAACCCAGACCATCTATGGTAACTCGCAATTCCAAAAGTCTTTTTTTCAGTGATGGACGTGGGAGTCTCCCAATGGAGAGTACCATAACGAAATAGATCACATCATAGTAAATCGAAGGGTTTGCCTGACCGATGTCGCTGTTGTTCCTAAGTTCTACACGGGATCAGACCATCGCCTCCTTCGCGCCACGTTCCGTTTTTCGAGGAGAGGAGAGAAAGTTGCTAAATTCAAACAACAAAGTCCCAGAATTACCATAAACTGGGATGTATTCAAAGCATCGGTCGGCTCTTGGGAAGATACCATTGTCGACAACATCGACGAAGAATACGATCGACTCGTTGAATATCTTCACGTTAGCGCTATAAAAGCCGAGAGTCCTAAGGTCACGAAGAGACGCTTGTCTCCGCAGACACTCGAGCTAATACGTCAACGTGGAATCGCACGAGCTGCAGGAAACCGAATCCTTACGTCCAAACTTGCGAAACGCTACAGAGAAGCGACAAAAAAATGCACTCCGATACCCTGACGGGACACTTACAGCTTCGAGAAGGGCTATGGAGAAAATCATCCACCAATACTACTCGGATCTCTTCTCTAGCCTTGTCCTCTTACCTTCATATAGATTGAAAGAGGACGAATATGTCGTCCCACCAGTCCTCCCTTCCGAAATCCGACATGCTAAGTTGTCGGTGAAGAACAGAACAACACCCGGTCTAGACAGGATTAGACCAGAACACCTGAAGAATCTGCCGCCAGTTCTCATCCACTCGCTACCTGTCAGAATGCAAGGTCCCTATTCAATGGAAAAGCAGCAAGACCGTATTGTTGTTCAAAAAGGGAGACCTTCACGACATAGGCAATTATCGCCCAATCTGCTTGCTGTCCGTTCTCTATAAACTCTTTACTCGAGTCATCCTAAATAGGATTGACAGAACACTGGACGAAGGACAGCCATGCAGACAAGCAGGGTTTCGCAAAGGATTTAGTACTGAACCACATCCACACGATTACAAGACTCATTGAAGTTTCACGAGAGTGCAAACAACCACTCTGTCTCACTTTCATCGATCTGAAGAAAGCTTTTGATTCAGTGGAAACAGAAGCGGTTATAGAGGCTCTGGATAACCAGGGCGTCCGTACTCGGTACATAATGATCCTTCGTGAGCTTTGTAAAGATTTCACAACCAAAATATCTCCATTCTACAACAATATCACCATTGACGTAAGAAGAGGGGTTCGACAAGGCGACACAATTCCGCCAAAACTATCCACTGCCACCCTACAGAACGTCATGCGAACATTAGAATGGGACGAAATGGGAGTGAAAGTTGACGGTCGACAATTAAACCATCTTCGCTTTGCTGACGATATCGTTCTCATAACACCAAACATCAGCCAAGCGGAACGAATGTGGACCGATTTCGATAACGCCTGTGGAAAGATTGGTCTCTCAACTAAATCTAACGAAAACGATGTCCATGAGGAACGGATGGGTTTCTAATGCCCCATTCTCACTCAACGGAACGACAGTTTCCGAATGCTCCAGTTACGTCTATCTAGGTCGTGAAATCAACATGATGAACGAGCTAGCTCCAAAGTTGAGCAGGAGGAAACGAGCGGCTTGAGGAACGTTTAAGAGCATCGAAGATGTAGTGAAGAGGACAAAGAACATCCGACTCCGTGCCCCCTTTTCGACTCGACAATTATCCTTGCCCTAACGTATGCAGCAGAAACCTGGTCGCTACGTAGGCAGGATGAAAGATCACTTGGAGTTATCGAACGCGCAGTCGAAAGGTCGATGCTAGGAGTATCCCGTATCTCGCAAATGAGAGAAAGGATCCGAAGTTCCGACCTACGTCAACGATCGAAAATCAGAGACGCCGTTCTACACGCCAGGATATCGAAAATAAGGTGGGCCGGACACGTGATGCGCTTCAACGACGACCAATGGACGAGAGCCGTTACCGACTGGATTCCTCGGGACGTCAAGCGCTCTAAAGCAAGACCACTGACCCGTTGGTCCGATTTCTTCACGAAAGCGATGGAACAAAGATATGATGCTCAGCGAATTCCTAGAGCAAGGAGGACCCACTGGGCTACTCTTGCACTCGATAGGGGAAAATGGAATAGTTGCTGGTACCCGCTCGAGTCACTCGACGATCAACGGGACGACAGGTGATACAGGTGATCGACGTCGGTTTCTCAATGTAGGCGATATCTCCCGCAAAACTGACCGAAACGAAAACACCGTGAAATCGACAAGGCTGTAATGCCGAAATACGTATCATGCACTGCATAAATGCCATAACAGAACTCACGAAAGGCTCAACATACGCTATCAGATTATAGCTTTAAGCAAGATCTCAAAAACATTTAGAAGTAAAGGTGACTGTATTGTTGACTAATTGAGTTCCTTGTAGAAATAACAGCTGAATTAACAAAAATGTCGTAATGCGGAAGAAATTAGGAGATAACTCAATACATTTTAGTAGAGAGCAGGGACACGGTCTTGTATTGTTGTAGCCTGCAGAATTCGGGTTAACTTCCTTCTCGTCAAATGGCTACGCTTTTCATTTATTGAGAACCACCAGCATTATCCAGGAAAAGAAACTGGATGTCAAAGATCAAAACTGCCAAATAATCCTGCACACGTGAAACGTCGATGTTTTGCCAGTAAATATAGAAGAAAACTAAAATTATAAGTAGAACTGCTACAACTGTCATCGTATCAATGCGGAGAGATCGCTTGTAATCACCTTCACTCTGTTATTCACCAAGTAACTAAAGTGCATATTAACAGCTTTCATTTGTTCGTGTAGTTGATTTCTTCAGTTGATACCATCTGATCGAAATGCATCAAAATACTGGAATATGTCACCATATGTTAGGTACAATAATGTTTCTGATGTTTCATAAGAAAAGGTGGTGTTCCAGTAGCTTGTCGTCGCTTTGGTTTTGGAAACTTGATTGTGGAAACTTTTGCTTCTTCATGCAGTATACCCTCTACCTGCAATACCAACATGCTTTTCTATGGTTTTCTACTCATGGTATTGATCGAGGAGATCAGTGCTGCACGATTCTAACTTCTTTGGACATTTATAATTCTGCTCTTTTATTCAACTGTCACATTCAATGCTATTTATAAAATTTATTCGAAGTTGGCTTCATACTTTGGTAAATCTTCCGTAATAACTAGTTGGATTTTGTAAGCCTATCCCTCAGTGCAACAC